AAGAACCAGAGAGCAACCTGCAATGGTCTAGAGAATTCAAGTGGGCAGCCCTGCCTGAGTCTTTAGCCATTTTTGGCTGGAGAACTTTCTTCTGATGGCTGACCTGGCCTTGTGAGAGAGAAGAAAAGGCTGGCTCTTGACGCTTCTGACTACTTCACTGCTCAGGCCTTGAACCTCCTGGCAGAAGAGAAAGGAAAAGGCATAGACAGATTTTTAAGAGCATTCTGTCCCATTTTAAAGGGTAGGGTAAACATAATCAGCCTGGTTTGTGAGCTGCCTATTTGACACATCATGTAGATGAATACTTTCTCCTTCAGAGACAACTACATTATTTTTCCCTTGGTATCTCCAAGCTAAAACTAGTTTCTCTTAGTAAATTGCTCCTTTGAAAAAGAGAACATGCTATTTTCTCACGAGAATGAATGTTTAAAAGTCATTTTATGTATTTTGTGTTGTAGGAGTGGGTAGGAGAATAAAGGCACTTAGCTTTGATGGACTGGCCCATGAAGCACTGGTATACCACTCATCTTGAATGCACAATAGAAGTTCCTGTTGAATTTAGAAGTTCTATTTCCTGTTGGTTTAATTTTAGATAGAAAGAGCAACTTTCCTGTTAAGAACTCATGGGAATGTACTAAGAAGTGTTAAACAATGAACAGTTGTTAAACTTCAATAGCAAACAAAAGGCCTGGGAGAAGTGAGAAAGCAGGAACTAAGAAATAAAAGGGAAGTGTGAGTGGGAGAGTCAAGTCAGATTCTCATCAGGTACTAATGTACTTCTGGTCTGTGCTCTGTTCCAGTTACTACCTTTCAACCTTTTGCAGGAAGAAATGCAGATAGTGTTGATATGAACATATTGCCACCTGTGCAAACAATAACAGTCAAAATACTGGGGGAGGGGGTGCGATTATACAGCATTTTTTAAAGTAGGGAAACTTTCTTAAGGGCTGTAGAAATAATTTCTATTGTTCATATCCTATGGTCTGGAAAACTGGCAACAGATAATTTTCACTATTTAACATGAACCCTTCGTATGGATAGAATTGAATTGTCCAAGGTCTAGTCAGTGGTGGAGCTAGGTAAAGAAAGAAAGTCTATTGATTCCCAGATATGATGAGCTCTTCATGTAGCGGGGTCTTCAATTAAAAGCAATAAGACTATATTTGGAGAATAAACAGGAGATTTTCTTCGTACTATCAAACATCATGATAAATGAATAATTACAATTGTAAAGATAATTATTTCATGAATTGATATGAGTCCAACTAAGAAATGTAGATAAGTGATAAAAATGCAAAGTAAAATAAAAATATGTTTTCCACATTTAAGTTTTAAGTCCATATAGATTTATTTGGGTACCTGTCATGAAATACACCAAAAAATTGCACCAAATAGCTGTGTAGTAGTCTCAGCACAATTTATTGAAAAATTCTTTTATCATCAATTTAATGCTGCCTTTATAATATAACTAATATTATATTTCATCCTTTTTCTCACTTTCTCAGTGTAGCTATTGATTTTAGCAGGAGGTTTTCAATTCTAATTATTGTATCTGTAAACCTTTTATCTGGTTGCTCTTCATTGAACAAGAAGTGCTGCCTCATTTCTGTTTTCCTTTCTTTTTTTTGGCTAATCCAGCCTGTTTATTATTTCAAATGAATCCAGAATTACCTTTCAAAGTTCAAAATATCATTTTCAGAGTTTTGCATTGGCATGAAACCAATACAGTATTTTGGTAAGGCCTGATATAATTAAAATATTTGGTCTTTCCATCAAGGAACATTAACTTCCTATTTAGTTGAATCTTTCTCAATATCCTTCAGTAAAATTTAAAAATTTTAATCATGTAGTTTCAGTACATGTTTTTGTTAGGTGTATGCCCAGATACTTACTTTAAAAATATTACAAATGAAATTTTACCATTATAGTAAAAACATTGTTTTACATCTGTTGCCCAGGCTGAAGTACATTACGTTGTTGATGAGACCATTTTGGTATAAAGAAATTATTGGGGGATATATATAAAATATGTACTATATATAAGGTATTATATAAATATGTAAATTATATCTAATATATAATACAT